GTCTTCGACAGTCTAGAAGGTGAATGGTTGAGTAAGCGCCAAATTTTGCAGTGTCCGACCAGCCTGTGATACAAATGTCACAAACTCATGCTGATCGCCTGGAATCACTTCGAGATGTCCATCTCGATTCCACATAAACAACTTTTGATGAGCCGTAGAAGGTACGGCTCCAACTCCATGAATCCACTCCCTGCCAAGTAGTGCATTGAAATTGGCGTGTGATTGGACGACAACAAACACAGTAGGTCTCGAATAAGTGCCCACTTTCACATCTAAGGTAATCATGCCTTCTGAACTCGATGTTTTCCCACTGAAATCAGAGATCATGATATTATGCCTGACTAAGTCTTTTAATTCGATACCGAACCTTTTCAGCATAGTGATTGGCAATATGTTCACCACTGTACCACCATCGACAAGGACTCTATTCACCATTTGTCCTTGAATCTCGATATTCAGTAATAAAGGCTTCAGATGGAATCTCATCTCCTCAGATGGAGGATCAATAAAAGCAGCATCTCTATGGGGTACTTCGCATGATGCTTGTGTTACCCACGTCACTTTTGGTCTCATGTCTTCGGAATAAAAATCATCCTCTCGATCGACATTACTTTGTTCTTGGTACTCTTGATACTCACTAACATATTCTGCGGGTAGTATCGATATTACTCCGATTTGATGTTCATCCCAGCTACCCTCATTTTTATCATCGAAAAAATCTCTTGTATATTGGCTCCCCATTGGTACATTACTTTCTTCAAAGTTCCAGTAATTATTCCAGTAAGGGATCCTTCCTCCTCTTCTCCAGGGTCTTCCTCGGAATCTCCTTTGGAATGTTGGGAATCCAGTATTCGACCCTTCATCATATGAAAGTCTCTCGAAGACATCGTTACTTTGAGGTCTACCCCTTCCTCCTCGAGAAGTATACATCTCTTTCCTAACCCACTGTTTCTGATTTCTACTAGCACCAGAACCACCAGATTTCTGTTGACTTTCCCTTGTCGTTGCCTGGGCTGATTGATCTATTTTGTCATTGTCCCTTTTATTTTGATTCTCAATTTTCTTTATCTGTTCCGCTCTAAAAGCTTTAGCAGCTGATTTATCGAACACCACACTGCATCGTGGACATAACGACACATCTTCATCTTTTTCTTTCTTTCTGTTTAAAAACTCGATGAGAGAATCTCCTGATCGAGGATAGATCTCTCTCTCAAATTCTTTCTCGAACTCACTCAGGTCGAATTCCATGTCTTCTTCATATACGTCCATTCTGACATGTCTGGGGTCAATGTCTTCAGTAACATCAACCATGCCTACAAAGGTCAAATTTTCCAATCGGACATCTTCAGTCATGCCCGTTTGGGACTCGATATACCTTACTTGTACTTCAAATGGACTCGTATCCACTTTCATTGACATCTCCTCGAATTTCAATCTTCCTTGGTCAATCGCATCTTGGATCGTGTTCCTGAAATGTATACAATTATTAGTCCAATGTCCATAAATATTGTGAAATTTGCAATATTTTCGATCATTCCTTTGTTCTGTAGAAGGCAGTTTATGATCATCACTCAACTTAATCTGTTTATCTTTCAATAAGATATCGAAGATTTTATCCGCCTTTGTTACATCAAAAGTATATGTTCGATTTGTCATTTTGTCTTTTACTTCATTTTTCTATAGCAGTTTACAAATGTATGGAGTTCCTACTTTAAGCTCTGCTATATTTACTTTCTCATCAACAGTTTCTTCAATATCAGTTTCTGTCTTGGGATCTGTCTCATACACATCATTTATATATGTTACTCTTTCTTTCTTCATGGGTTTCTCAAATTTCTTATACCTTTGTTTTTCATATTCGATTTGTTCCACTCTTCTCACTTTATCGGCTAGCTGAGGCATGTCATTCAATGGTAAATTAACTAACTTTTTCCTAATCGAGAATTCTAAGCCTGCAGAGGTCATTCTGACTAATTCATATTCAGGAATTTGAGTAAAGCATCTTGACTTCATTTGTCTAAATCTATTCAAATAATCATCTATGCTTTCATGATTGTATCTCTTTATGTTCATTAGGTCGATGGGACTTACTTAAGTCTCCCCTCTAAAGAATTGCTCATGAAAATCTCTTTCCAGTTGCAACCAATTATATATCGAATTGGGTGGCAACGAAGTAAACCAAGTGAAAGCATTCTTAGTCAATGAACTAGGGAAATATTTCATTTTTAATTCTTCACTCATCGCTAGGTCTCCACATTCGATCTGATATCTAGCTACATGCTCAATAGTGGACTCACCAATTTCTCCAGCAAATTTGGTAAATTTAGGTATTTTGTATCCTCGAGGTAATTCAGTCTCGAGAATCGTATTTGGAAAAGGAGAAACAAAATATGGTTGATTGGGTGGTTTTAATTCCACTCCTTGGGGATTCATCCTTTGTCCTAGAATGTGATTATACTGCATGTTATTTTGATTATACGCGTTTTGAAATCCCTCATTCAGATTTCCATACATATCATTCCTCACATGTTGATATTCATTCCCCATATGTTTATCATTGTTTCGATTTCTCCTTAATAAATAAGGGGGATTGATATTAGTATTCTGATTGGCATTGCTTTCGACCCTTGTTTGTCGGGGTATTGCCAATGCATCTCCGATACGTGACATTTGGTCTACTAGTATTTCAAAACTAGTGGTAGTGTTTTGCACTAATGGATTCAATACTGTAGTCAACTGTTGTGATAACATGTTAACCATCTCGAAATTGCTCTCATCCATTTGTTGTCTAAGTATTCCTAATGAGTTACTGGAGATTCCAGTACTAGCGTTTTCGATAGTCTCAAAATTGGATCGATGATAATCTCTATCGAATGTGTATCTCCCATGATCCAGATTTGCTCTGTGATCTAGATTTGGAGGTATCTGTTGTGTACCTAAGTTCTGCACACTTCCTGAATTCTGGGGGGTTACTAAATTTTGAGTTGCCCCTAAATTTGGAGATACTCCAAAGTTTTATGGCATGCCTAAAGTTTGAAATGTACCTAAGTTTTGAGGCATTCCTAAGTTCAATCTCGAACTTCGTTGTATTGAAGAGATACCAACCCCATTCATATTATTAAGCGAAAAACCAGGCGGCCTTACACTCATATACGGCCCTGCATATGTTGTTATAGGGTTTCCCATAGTTTGCATATTATTTGATATTGCAGTGCTAGATCCTAGTTGAGTATTTGCTAATGTGCCTGAACTTTGTTCATTACTCACAGGTATCGACATACTCGCAGTTGTCGATATTACAGGCATATTCCCATTATGACCTTGCCCCCCAGTGTTTAGTGGATGTGAACCATTCAGAACCTCACTGTTACTCGGATTATTTGGTGGATGACTCATTCTTATCACTCGCCCACTCCTTAATCTCATACACTTTCGAACTAACCAATTTTGTGTTTTTCGACACACGCTACCCCCTACCTGGTGCGCCAATTTGTTTCTGGTGAAAATTTGATTGATTTCGATTTACGGGGAGTTGAGTCCTAATCAAATCTTGACCATGTAGATTCTTTTTACTTAGGCTAGCAACTAGTTTTCAATCAAAAGTGCATGAGAATCGAGAATCCTAAAATCTCGAAAAGATGTGAACCACATGACCTAGAGTGCAGATCAATGATCGAAAGTACTATTTTTGATGTTTTTTTTATTAAGTAACGCGAAGTAAAGAAAGCAGAAAAAATGTTAAATCGAAAAAGCGGTGCAGAATATGAAATTACAGAGAATTGAAAATTGCGGAAACCTCAAAATTGCATTAATTGTAAATGACCGAATTAAAATTGCATGGAAGTAAATAGTAGGAAATCGGAATTGCAGAAACGGTAAATGGCAAGATATCGAAAGTACAGAAGCTTAAATTGCATTAAAGGTAAATGACAAGTAATCGAAAGTACAGAAACTTAAATTGCATCAAAGGAAAATTACATGAACATAAATTACCAGGGAAAGTAAAGAAAACGATAAAGGCAGTCAATGAAAATGGAAATCCAGATCGCCAGAAACTTCATGATTTCGTCGTTCTCCAGTAGACTTTTCACTAACGCTTCTGTTGTCTCTGCCAATTTCCTTTTTTCCTTCATCTTTCGCTCTATTTATAGAGCATCCTTCAAGTAATCTCTTAGGAGCAGTTAACGAAAACTGCTACCACGTCCTGCGTGCACGTCTTTTGCAGTTTTACTTCTAGCTCTACGGTTAAAAAACTGCATTCACGTTCTCATGCATGAGGTAACTGCTCCTTTGACCTTCGACTTCTGCCACCGCTTACCATGTTCTATGTGCACGTCAACTTAATTTGTTTCTCTCTTTATAATTGTTTCTCTCTTTATAACTTAACCAAAATTCCGATAGTCATGTAGGTTAACCTTTCCCTCGATTTCGATTCCAAATCTCGAGAATTTTGAATTGCTTCTGTTTTCACTTTGTTTCTCAACATTACTTTTGACTCAAATTTCTCGATTTTCTTCAACACATAGACATTAAATATTCCTCCTTCGATTTTCGGTTCTAATTCTCGATTTATGTGTCCATACTGTTACATGGTCATCAAATGTTTTCCAACTATTTTTTCACTTCATCAGTTTTTAACCAATCATATGATCCTCGATTTTTCTTTCCTTCGTTTTTCGATCCTTTTAACGATTTCCCACTAACAATACTTTGAGGTGAAAAGGATATTTAAGCCAGCATTTGATTCATATTTTCAAACTTGAATCATATCAAACACATTCCCTTTACTTTATAAAATGGAATTGCCCATTCTTCCTTGTTCAGCAAATGGAACACTAATGGTTACAGTGCAATATGCCCAGGTATTGATGATTGATGAAGACTCTAAAATGGTGGGAGAACTGTGGATTGAATGGAAATGACCTATTTTTCAGCATAGTTCAATTTCCTTCTCACATAATTCACAAACCAACCTTGTATTCTTAGTTGTTTCTGTTTTAATGGAGAGAATCAAACTTGGCAAGAGATTTCAAGGTAAGGTGGCCATTGTGACGGCTTCGACCCTGGGAATTGGCTTTAGCATAGCCGAAAGGCTTGGTTTGGAGGGTGCATCTGTTGTCATCTCTTCTCGGAAACAGGTTAATTAATTGGTGCTTTTCGATTTCCCACTTTTCACCCTTTTCTTGCTTTTCATTGCTAAATAAGATTACGACAAAACCTTTTCCTTGAATTTTTAACATAGTTACATGTTAGCACTTGGCCACCCCTATGAATTTTGTTGTGGTTGGATAAGAGAAGAATTCAATCTTTTCTTTTAATTGATTCATTTTGGGAAAAGGAGAGGAAAACAGTGGTGATTGGATTAGAAGAATTAAGTTTTTTAATGGACATTTGTTACAGATATTTGTTTATTACTGCAGCAAAATGTTGATGAGTCTGCTTGCAAACTGAGAGCTAAAGGAATCGAAGTATTGGGTTTAGTTTGCCACGTTTCAAATGCACAACAAAGGAAGAATTTGATAAACAAAACTTTACAGGTGAGACTTCAAACTTTATTTAAATATTCGATGAAATTTTTATTCGTTTAGAAAATATCTTGTCCGAGCTCAAAAAGTCTCCTGTAGATTGCATCCTCCTCCAAGCATGGGAGTTCAGTCCTTGTTTTTGTTCATTTATCGATCGGCTAAGGAAACACTTTTGTTACTGTTATCTCACCATTGATGAATCATATTGTATTAGTAGTCTGAAGCATGCTTAGATAAACTTCTTGATAAACATGAAACTGAAATAAATGAAGTGTCTTTTTTTGAGTTAAATTTGTATAGGTTAAGATTAGTAATATAAAAAAGTTATATGAATTTTTTTTTATAAAAATTTAACACAAAAATTGATTTTATATTTTTATTGCTATCTATCTATCTATATATTTTTTCCCTCTCTCAAAAAAAATAAAAATAAATTTTATATATATATATATATATATATTTATTTATTTATTGACACATAACCTAAACCTAATTACCTCCATTTTGATTTTGTCACCTTGGTCTGGTGACTACATCGGGAATTGAGCTGGGGTTTTTCTGGTCTAGAGCGTTGGATTGCGTGATCTTTTATTGAAGTCATTCTTTGCAAATTGTTTAATGCTGTTCTAGTTTTCTAAAGAGTTGTTAACATTCTGGTTTGCAAGTGTAGTGAGATTTTCACAGGATCTTCGTTGTATTTATCACTTTTTTAACTATCATTAAACAAGTGAGATCAATCCAAATTTGTAAAATACTACCAACAGAAAATAACACAAATCTTTCTCGTGATTAGATAATGCAAAAATCTAGCATAAAATGAGGAATTCCCTGTTTTTTTTACAGAAGTATGGAAAGATAGATGTTGTTGTGTCAAATGCTGCCGTACATCCTTCTGTAGATCCCATTTTGCAGACACAAGAATCCATCCTTGACAAGCTGTGGGAGATAAATGTGAAATCCACTATACTACTTCTCAAGGTAACTGACTATCGGCCATAATAGCATGGCAAAGCCAAAAGATGATAAGAACAAATGCAATATATTATTAAGCATATTCCCTGTTATCCATTTCATGGTTTATACAGGATGCAGCTCCTCACTTGAAGAAGGGTTCTTCTGTCGTACTTATTTCCTCACTTGCTGCTTATAACCCACCACCTACTATGGCTATGTATGGAGTGACCAAAACAGCAGTTCTTGGACTTACCAAAGTAAGTACTTGGCTTGCATTTTTTCCTTTTCCTTCAAGACGAGGAAGTAAGGTCTTGGACCTAAAAAAGTATCTTTAACTTTTTTTCTTCTTTCTATATGGTTACTTTATATAATTCCTTATGTTGTGTAGGCTCTGGCTGGTGAAATGGCACCCTATACTCGGGTAAATTGTGTTGTTCCTGGAATTGTGCCAACTCATTTTGTTGCACTTTATACCTCTAATGATGCTACAGTGAGTATCAATTCTCCCAAATAGTGTTTTAGTTTGACTATCAATTTGCAATTTAAATGGATTTTATTGGTGTTGTGCCGCAGAGGGAGGAACTTGAAAGGAAGGCATTGATTGGAAGGCTTGGAACAGCTGAAGAAATGGCTGCTGCGACAGCGTTTTTGGCGTCTGATGATGCTTCCTACATAACAGGAGAAAATCTAGTGGTTTCTGGGGGAATGCCTTCCAGGTTGTAGTTCCACTCTTCTGAAAATTGTTAGAAATGTCAATTATGAAATTTCTAAACATTAATTTAAGTGAGTGATTGTGAAACCAAAAGAATATTATAAAGGAATGGTGACTCCTATTAGAATGCATGTAGTTACAATTCACACAGGAGTTGACTCTTGAAAATATAAGTAATCAAGTAATGTTTCTTCAAGAAGTCATTCTTCACTACCATAAATAGAAATATTAAGAGAAGAGGTACCTCAAATCAAACAGAAAATATACAAAACAGAAATCCGAGACTATCTCTGGAAAAATAAGATCCCTCGGCAGGCCGCAGTTCAACCTGAACATTTCTTAACAAATGATTGATGCACACACAAAAGAAATAGTAATGTAAAGCGCATTTTAACTTCATTTTAGCCAACATTTATACAACAGTATTGTGGTAACATGGATTGTTTTCGATTTTTACAACAACTACGAACATAAACAGGGTACCACATATCAACTAAGAATACAAGTTAACCAAACTTGCAAATAAAATTTAGCTACAAAGCTACATTCCGGCTAGAATTAACTCAAACATAAGAACACAGCTACTTTGAACCCCTTCGGGCCCCTCTACCTATGTACATAAAATAAGCAGAAAAGGAACAATGCAACTTCCTGGATTATGGATACATCGATGACCTTCTCAAAGTGCTTGTAGTTGGACTTGTGAATCCTTGCGTCATATTACTAAAATCTTCTGATTACCATGACAATCTTAGTACTGTGCTTAGCATAAACTTCCAAGTCATTTTACACAAAAAGCCTGCAAGTGGAAAGTACTCTGATTCCTTAGTGTGGGATTTCCCCATCGGTTGTCATTTCAGAAGTGTGACACTGATTTCCAAGCAAAAGAAAATACTAAACAGGAATAACATCAGCATTTTGATTATCTTCGCATGTCAAGATTAGCCCTTCAACATAGGTTGGCAGAAGGCAGCGAATCCACTGGCAGCCTGTTGAGACAGGCTCCGCCGAAGGAACAATCATAAGCACATTATCGTGGCGTTGGACAATACCCATCACACTTACGGTGCTGCCTTCTTTTATGTACCTATGCCATTTCCCAAATTTACTTTCTAAGTATCAAGTCACAATGAGGAAGGAAATTGTTGAAAAAGAGAAAAAAAAAACATTTTTGAATGAATAGTAAACTGCAGAATAATGCAGTCCATACCCTTCCTTGAGACGCATGATCCGGTCATCACTAGAGAGTTTGCGGTCTGCAAGCCAGCCTAAGAAATTTGGAGATAACTCTTTGTTATCCTTTGTTACATCAACTACGGTAGTTGGTTCCACAAAAGGAGCAACCTTGGCACCATAGCCTGCTTTCACCAATGCTCTTAATCCAGACTGAAAGTCTGACACGTAGAAGTCCGCTACATATTTCTGTTCATAGAAGATGATTAAAACTTAGGCATTATGTAGAGTAAGAGAGAGATGATCAGAATATATGGTCATCAAGAAGAAGCCTGACAAAACCAAACATATAAACCATAATCCTTCACGGCACTTTCTTACATTAGAAAGGATGCTAGTACTGAAGTTCTTCATACAATAAACTAGATTGCAAGATTAAATTAATATACTGATAACAGACATGTAGAGAATGGTAACGTTATTGACTAAAAAACCAGCATTCCAGTCAAAGTGGTGAAGTGGACATAATAATTAAGTGGGTGTGAACCAAACATGAAAATGTACATGCATTCACTAAATGAAAAGCACTAGATAATCGTGCAAATTCTTACGCAGACTAAGAATAATTGTGCATTTTAGGTGGAAACAGTTGAAGTGACAGAAAATGTAGTAGCATTGTCTTTCTAATAATATCCTATTAACCCTCAAGCATACTTATTATAGAGAAAATTACATTGTTACTTTTGTATTTTAGACACCAATCAAGTCAATGTAGGTCTGTGTGCACAAGTGATTTCTCACTTTTATTAAATTATGCTTGATCCTTAAGAATTAAACCAACTAACCTCAGAGTATCTAGAACCCCAAGTAAAGCAACTGTGTTTAGGATTTGCTGATTTTCCACCCAATCCTTTATATTCATATAATTCGGTGGAGACATACACGCATCTAGGAACTCTTTGGTAGGATGACTCCAAAGGAATGCTTCCACAGGTTACAACCTACAGGAAGAGAAAGGGCACATATGTAAAAAATACATTAGAGACAACCATCAAGGTCTGTGTAGGACATTATCATCCATCCATAGAACAATCCTATTTGATTGCATTGTGATAGGAGTAAGTGTTGAAGCAGTTCAGGGGTTACAATTCAAACCAGATATTAACTAATAACATAGCAACTGACAAGCCTGATATTATGATATATTCATAATATCTTGCAGTAGATTTTTTCCTAGCAGACTAAGAGACGTAGCAAAAATCAAGGTCAAGATAAGAAATAAAACTCAATTTAAATGCCACACAATTACGCCCTAATATGAACATCGATAAATACCATCCACGGAGCAGAAGAATCCAAGAAATTAATATTAAGTTACTTCTGTCAAGACTAGAGATTACATTTACATGGCAACCATTTTAGTAAAAAGCCAAATAACCCGACCCTTCTTCATTACTCTGACACTAAAATGCAGGCTTAACATCCTCATCCCTGATCACCATCTCTGCTAAATTCATGAAGACATTCTCTTCAAGTTTATGAACTAAGTAAATAATGCCACAACACGCGAGTTATATCTTCTCTTTAGAGCCACGTTATTGACCTTCCAGTTTGCACCGCAAAATCAACAAAGAACATCCATACATTTATATCAGAGCAAAATCTACTAGCTTATAAATACTTGCATTCCAGACTATAAAACGCCCCTGGAAGAAAAAAAAAAAACTTTCAACATATAGGACAACTCCAAAAGAAGCAGTCGCAATCACCAAGACCAAATTCACTCGTTACATAAGAATCAAACCCACACCAAAACCCCGTACTGAACATCACGTTATTAAAAAAAAAAAAAAAAACTAGGGGAAAGGATACATCATAATTAAATAATGTTAAATTAAATGTTAGCTGAACAAAACAAATAACACACCATAAAAAAGAATCATAATTTCATGATCATGAGACATCACTGTAGCGTGATTATATCATTATCGTTATTATAGAAAAGAAAGAAAATTACCCCGGTAACCTTAACGTATTGTCCATCAATGGCGCCTCTAAGCTCAGCATCAGGGTACCTTTTCACAAACCCTAGAAGCCCTCGTCTCCCCCAAACGCAATTCCAAGCGATCAAAACCACCACGGGCACAATAACCGCTGCGAGAGCCAACAAGATCACAGCTTTCTTCACCGCCACCATGAGAAACACCCCAACGAGCAAACTCATTGCCACCACCACCATGAACACCCACACCACCGCCCTCGACATCTTGAACCCCACCTTTAACTCCTCGTTCAGACTAGTCACCGCGGAACCATACACCGTCTTCCCCGCCGACACCGACGCCGCCGCAGACGGTTGCTCCAGCTGCCCCGACCGTCGGCTCCCGACCGGGCCGGACCCCACCGGACCCGATGTTATCAGGCCCGTGGGTTGCAGCGCTATCGGACCCGACCCTGACGACCTCCGCGACATGGGCCCCGACCCACTGAGCCTCCCCACCGCGGGGCCCGAGTTTGGCCCGGATCTCACCGACCCGGATGACGGCCTCGACGGTTTCTGATCAACGCCGGGGATTTCCAACATTTTCCCCAGCTCGCCGGACTTCTTGGGATCCCCGCCGGTATATGGAACGGAGCGTGACGTCATTGTCGGCGGGCGCTCTTTCACCTGTTCGGGTCGACCCGACACGTAGAGGCCGCTGCTGAGCTGGTGAGAAGGGATTCGTGTCCCCATTTGAGAAAAAAAGAGCAACTTTGGGTTCACAGAGCTAAAGGGTCTGTTTCTTCCTCCTGTATCTGATGTGGGTGATAGTGTAGGTGTTTGCTCAGCACTTTGTGTGTGTAAGTGTTGGTAGTGGTGCAAGTGGAAGGAGAAGTAAGTTAGAAGTGGGGGAGGGTGAATGCAATTGCAGAAATGGGGTTGAGGTTTGTGATAATGACATCTGTGTCCCTTGTCTGTCTCTTTGGCCAAATTGCTGTGCTAATAATGTTGGGGCTCTGGAGGATATACCACATTGTTGCTGGTTTATTTGCAGTTTGGTGTTTCATCTGTCCCCACACTTGCTCCTTCTTTTACCTTATTACCCTTTTTCACCCTTTTTCACCCTTTTTCCTGTATGTTTTACCTTTTTACAACTTTCTCTGCTTTTTTTTTTTTTTCTTTTCTTTTCCCTTTTTGTGTTGATTTCAGAGTACCCAACCAACGGAGACAAAAATACGGCAACCCTCAAATAGGGTAGTTTTGTACTGTTATTGTGCTGATGATGCTCTGTTCTTCCCCAGCCTTTCATTCAACTCATGCCTTCTCTTTAGGTCTTCACGCCACTCTACGAGCCTAAATGCGTGTTTGGATTCTCCTAATAAATCAACTTATGCGCGTCCCATTCAAGCTATTTTACACACTAATACCCTAGATTGTGCTAGGGCCTCTTTAAGCACATGTTTTGTCCACATAATTCTTTTTATGATTATTTGTAAAATAAGTTACATTTTTTTAAGTTACCATTAATTTATTTATGCATTTTAATTTTACGAAAATAATATTTTTTACAAAAGTTAAATACACCAACTATCTTCTTTTTACATATTCTCTCATAAATCTAACGTGATTCTTCTCAATTTATAAAAATTATGAAGACGAGCTTCCAACGTGCAACACATCTTCAAACACGCTTATACTATCGGTTAAAGTAATTTTAAATAAATATTTTTATTTCTTTATCTCATAGTTAAAAGTTATTTAATATTTAATATTAATCAAAGATTGCATACCAAATTTATCACTCGCTAACTTCATCCTGACATAAAATCATTCAAACATATCACTTTATATTAAATTTAATTTAATACAAATAATTTATTTCAAAACTAATTTTGCTGATTATTAATCCAATCCGACCATTAACTGTATTGATGTTTATGAAATTATGACCAGGTTCCTGTAAGTAATTCATGGGGTTATAATTTTGTTTTTTACTCAATAAATATTTTTTGTTAAGTAATGATTTATTGTTGAATAAAATTTAAAATAATTAATAGATATTCCTTTTTCTATAAATTAAAATTCATTTATGAAAAAATTAATTTGTAAAATATTTTTTGTTTGTGTATAAGTGAAATTTATTTTATAAAAAGGATAATTTTTTTATTTTTCTCTCTTGGTAAAAACAATTACGGAAAAAATAATTTAAAGATAATTTTTAGACTACTTTATTTAAATAAATAAATAAGAACTAATTTTAACATGAATATTTTTACACCATAAAATTAATTAAAATGAGTATTTAAATTAATACAATTTATAAATTAATATTAACATCGTAATTTTGATCAAAGTTGTGAGATTTATTTTTTCAATATGTTAGTCAAATACTCTAACAGTTTTTTTTTAAGAGTAAAGCCAATAATTATATTATGTTTAATCTCTCAACTATATTCTTGAGTTAATTCTCTCTTTTCATGGTAAATGTTGAATACGTTTTATATTTTTAAAGTAGTAATTATTTTTATAAGGTAATTGGATGATTTTATAAAAATACAATAAAGATATAGACATATTTAGATTATTTTTTCATAAACATTTTTAAAACATAAATTAAAAATTAAAAATATTTATAAACTAAATTATTTGTACAAGGATTTTTTTTATAAATTAAATTTATAAATTTAAAAAAATTATATGATTTTTTTCAGGTATTTTCGTCTGTTTATATTAAAAAATATATTGCAAATAACTCTGATACAAGAGAGATTATGGAAGTTTCATCAAATAATGAATCGGGTTATAAATAAACCTTTTAATTTATTTTTTATGGCTCCGTCGTGGAAATGTGACATAATTATAAAAATCTTTACGTTGATCAACTAACGAGGAAAGAATTGATGCCAGTTAAACGTATTATTAATTTATATAATATAGAGAGTAATTAATTATAACTAATCACACAAAGCTAATTATTCAAATTTTCCTTAGTATCCTCTTTAGCTTAAAGATTCCAATTTTTTAACAGATTTTTTTTTTTTTCTACTTTCTCTGGTATATAATCATTCGTTTTAACTTAAAACGTTTCGTTTTAAATTTTACATTTGACAACAAAAAGTGAAATTTGTAAATTGGTTGGCATCTATATCACTTTCCACATATTTCTTGTACAAAGGATTAAAACAATTAAAAATTTCCATCATATAAAAACTGACTTAACCACTCAACTCATGAAAAAAAAAACTAAAACTAAAACAAGGAAGTTTTTTAAAAGAGAAAGTTTAACTTAAAAAAAAATATATATATATATATATATATATATATATATATTACATATTTTATTCTTTACTTTATTTTCTTTCATTCTTTTTAATGTATTTGTCAATAAATTTAATTATTTTATAATAACTATATGATAACAAATATTTTAATTAATTCAAAACCGAAACTTTGTTTTTTAAACAGTTTGTTAAAGTATATTTATTATATGAATTAAATCGATTTATAAGAAAAAATATTAATTTTTCTGATAAAATTTTATATATATTAAATATATAATATTATAATATATAATTGAGTATATAATTTTTTAATTAAATTTTTCTTATAAAATTAAATAGATATATTTTTTAATATGATAATAATATTATAATATAATAATAATAATAATAATATAATGATATTATAATATATAAATGAATATAAATTTTATTTTCTTAAATAAATTTAAAATAATAAATTAAATAACATTTCGTTTTTAGTATGATATCACAATCTACTCTTTCAGAAAAATTGAAACGAGCATCATACATTAACATATTAGATGAAGCAATATTACCATGTATTATAACATATAATTAATTAACTTTTCAAAAGTAATTAAGGATAATGACAAAATCATAGAAATATAAAGAAAATCTTCGGGATAAAAACTAAATTAAAAACTTACTAACTTCTCGTAACTAAGAGCATATGTAATTGTAGATATTATTACGAAAGACAGGCCCATTTCTTTTAAAAATTTGGTGTCATTTTCTGTTATATAAAGTATTTTTAGGGACATATAAAAATGAGTTATAGTGGGTAGGGTCCTACTGGAAGGGAGAAGATTTTGTGGCCTTACATCATAGGATATGCAAAGATGATGGTGGATTGAAGGCCATGATGTACTTCCTTTGGCCTATCACCGTCAAAAATAATAACACTATTCATTTGAAGGTGTGGGACCCATCACACTTACTAGGGGCAGTAGCAGTAGATCTACCATCCTTATCATGTGCCCACAAGTGGAACCTCCCTCCTTCCTTCTTCTTCTGTTTTCTCCAATAAAACAACCTTCCAATGGAGCATACCCAAACCCTTCTAATGGTCCCCATCTTTTATTACAAAATCACACGTCCATTAATCTTTTCTCTATTTCTCAACCAAGCACTCTCCAACATTTTCGGGAATGTTTTCTTTTTCATTTTTTTAATATCAAAACCTTCTCTTTCTTCAATTTTTTTCATACTCACATTCGGTGTTTGTATAATTTTACAATGAAAATAATTAGCTAGGTCATTGATATGTTTTTCGTGAATGATATAATAATAAAACATCCCATTATTAAAATATTTATCTTAAATAAAAGGTAATATAAATTCTTATATGCATTTTGACATGTGTTCAAATTTATAAATAAAAGAAATATTCATAAAATATAAGTAAAAACATAAAATAAACGTCATAATGTAATTATTTTATTTCAACATTCTCTAAGTTGTGTGAGAGAGTGGACCAGAAAAGAGGGGTTGTGTGTGACGAAGGATGGTGCGTACGGTGGTTTTAGGGGCGAGGGCTAGCTACAGTGGTGCGTGGTTCAGGCGGTGAAGGGCGTCGTGATTCGAAGGTACCAGACAAGACACTAATTGAAGAGTCTCAGGTTCTGACCTGAACTTGTGGGGCTTCGTCATTTCGTCGATTTCCGAAACAGACTTACAAGCATCCTTCGTCGCCAGTTGCATTAGAGGAACCTTGCCGTCGATAGACTTGTGGATTTTTTGCTTGGTAGGGGTCATCTGGAAGGTCATGGTAGATTGCGGAGAAGCTGATGAAAGTGGAGAATGCTTATGGGGTTTACAAGAATGGAAAGGTAAAGTTATTGTCTCCACTCTTCAACATTCGATAATTGAAACATGGTAAATTCTCGTTTTAGTCAAGTGGAGGTTTGAAAGTTGGAAGATTAACAGATAATTGGAATATTTGGTAGTTAAGTTGAACCCTAAGGGGATTAGATAGATGATAAGGAAAAAAGGCAGTATGAGAGTAGGGGATAGTAATGCCCATGGTAGAGTTTGGGAGAGAGGTAGCGGTGGAGGGCAGTCGAGGGAGTTACGGAATGGGAGTTAAAACAAGGGGTTTGGGGGGCATTTAGGGCGTGTCTTAAGCTCCTCAACATCATAGTTTTGTTGTAAAAACAATAATAATAATAATAATAATAATAATAATCCTGATTTTGATTCTAACAATCAAATATAAACATAATCCCATACTGATAAACATGCTGTAAATTGAATGCGAAAGCGTACCTGAATTAATCATAATGATGATGTCTTTGTAGAGCATTGTATTGATCTTATGGTCTTCCACCTGAAGAGCACCTGTATTTCCCTCTTGATTTTCTCTCTTGATGGGGATAGAAAGAAAGGAACGGGACTGATTCTGTGTGTGTGCTCCCAGAAGGGGACCATGACCCTTTAGATAACCAGAATTATGTTAATTACTTAAGTTTTAGTATTTCCAATTTGGCCCCTCATCAAATTAGAAATTGTTCTATGGTCTCTACACAATTTTATTTTCATGACATATGCCTTTAGCCAAAACTTTAATTTAGTCAGATCACTTTATTATTTGGCTTAATAAATAATGGCTCTAACACATTTAAATTATGTATCATATATATACATGACCCAAATTTTTTCAACAATCTCCCACTGGTCACAAATATATATGTCCTTACAACCTTACAAATGTGTTATACTTTATGAGCTCAAAATTGCCATTATATTCCTTTAGCATACTCCAAAAGTCCTGTCCATTAATCATATCAGGATATAGAACCAAACCAGCTTTTCATTGCATCATCGCAACTAAAACCAACAATGATTACTCATCCTAACATAACCAAATGACATGAATTCATCATGAAATGTGTAGCATGAAAAATTACGTGAAGGTGATCTGTACACGTCTATTTTCAACTGGTCCAAACTTTAACTTATCGAGATCGATATAATATCCTTAATGTACAAAGTGTAATGAATGAACGAAAAAACCGCATATCTATAGATAACCAAATATGTCCAAAAAAACAATGTATACATATATGAAATTAAACATAGAACATAAAATATACAAAAGTGACTAACTCCCACTAAACCACAAATTCCTCAAACTGCAAAACACCCATGTGAGCAAAATGCTCATGAAAGACCTTGGGTGGAAGTACTTTAGTCAGAGGATCTGGTATCATGGAGTTTGTCCTTAAGTGTTTTATGAAAATCTGTCCACTTTGTACTATTTCCTTAACAATACAGCTGATTTATTGTCACAATATAACTTAAGTGGTCTTTCAATGCCTTTCACAATTTGCAGCCCTGTGACAAAATTTATCAGCCATATTCCATGATTTGATACCTCATAGCAAGTTACAAATTCTTGACATCCTACAAAATCTGAGTCAGAAAACCCAGCGATCTCCAACTGGTCTGACCTCCTATATGTGAGCATATAATCTTTTGTTCTCTTTAAATATCTTATGACCCTTTTTGCTGCTTTTCAATGGTCTATTCCTGGATTGCTTAAATATCTGCCTAGAACCCCAACTATATATGTTATGTCTGGATGCGTACATACTTGGGCATAGATCAAACTTCCTACAACTGATGCATAGGGAATCTTTTGTATTTCCTCAATTTCCAAATTTCCCTTTGGGCACTGATTGAGACTAAACTTGTCCCCTTAGCAACTGGAGTATCCCCGGATTTACATTCATGCATGCCAAACCTTTTAAGAATTTTTTTTTTCGATATAGCTCCTTTGTGATAATCCTAAAATACCCCAACATCGATCTCGGTGTATCTGAATTCCTAATACAAAAGACGCATCACCAAGATCTTTCATTTCGAAATTCTTTGATAAAAATTTCTTGGTTTCGTGCAATATGCCTATATCATTAGTGGCAAGTAGAATGTCATCAACATACAAGATCAGGAAAATATACTTACTCCCCTTAAACTTGTGATATACACAATCATCAACAATATTCATCTCGAAGCCAAATGAGATAATTACTTGATGAAATTTATAGTACTATTGACGAGATGTTTGTTTTAGTCCATAAATGGATTTTGTCAGTTTGCAAACCATACTCTTTGAATCTCCTTGCACAAAATTTTCTGGTTGCACCATATAAATCGTCTCATCAATGTTGCCATTAAGAAACATCGTCTTGACATCCATTTGATGAAGCTCCAAATCATAATGTGCTACAAGAGCCATGATTGTCCTAAAAGAGTCTTTCGATGAAACTGGAGAGAAAGTCTCTTTAAAATCAATCCCTTCCTTTTGGGTATAGCCCTTAGCTACCAGACGAGCCTTATACCTTTCCACATTACCTTTAGAATCCCGTTTGGTCTTAAATATCCACTTGCAACCAATGGGTCTCATACCTTCTGGTAATGGGACAAGTTCCCAAACCTTGTTGTCTTGCATGGACTTATACTCCTCCTTCATTGCTTCAATCCACTTTTCAGAGTTAGAACCTTACATGGCTTGACGGAAGTTAATTGGGTCATCTTCCATCATACCATTGTTTTCCTCATGTTCCTGAAGAAATATCATGTAATCATCCGAAATAGCACTTCTTCTTTCTCTAATGGATCTCCGCAAAGTTATTGGCTCATGATGCACAGGTTCTTGAGGATCTTGAGTTTGTTCTTCATGAACAACCAAATTATCTTGAGTAAGGGGTTCATTAACAATACCTTGTGGAGGTTCCGAACTTACTTCATCAAAAGTAACTGTTTGAATCGGTTCTGGAATTGTTACCGATTCTTCCTCCAAGACAAAGTTCTTGATTTTATTCTTCCCCCCAAACTCAATATCCTCAAAGAACGTAGTAGTTCCCGTCTCAAAAATTGTCTTTAAGGTGGGATCATAAAATTTATATCCTCTGGATCTTTCAGCATAACCAATAATATAACTACTTACTGTTCGAGAGTCCAATTTCTTTTCATTTGGCTTATAAGGCCTTGCCTCAGCTGGACATCCCCACACATGGAAATGCTTCGGACTAGGTTGTCGCCCAGTCCAAAGCTCATAAGGTGTTTTGGTAGTCGCTTTAGTTGGTACTCTGTTTAAAATATAAATTGCCGTCTTTAGCGCCTCTCCCTGCAGTGACTCCGTAAGGTGGAATGACAAATCATACTCTCTACCATATCTTTAAGAGTGTAACACAAGCTCAAACGTCACGATTTGATTGTGACTCGAACACTTGTGCCATAATGCACCCGAATGAGTATTTTCAATTTTACATTTAGTACCCCGTGATTCCGTATTAAGGGTTTCATTATAGGTTGTGGTCACAGTATCAAGTAAATACAGCATTATCATAAGGCAAAAGTGAACCAGGTTCCAATAATATCTCGAATTAAAAGACAAACCGAACTTATTGTTTCCAAATGAACACAAATAACCTAATTTGTCCAGATAAGAAACTAAAACCAAATTCCGTCTAAATGACGGCACAACAAAAGTGTCTTTCAAATCCAAATAAAAAAACCAAGTACTCAATAACAATTTAAAATGCCCTATGGCTTCCACCTCTACCGATTTGCCATCTCCAACATATATCCATCTTTCGGAATCAATTGGCTTCCGGTAGCTTAGGCAACCCTTTATAGAAACACCGATGTTAGTAGTTGCACTCGAGTCTAACCACCAAGTGTTACTAGGTACTTACGCTAAATTGACTTCGAACAGCACTCAAAGTAGGAAACATACATTTGAGGATCGTAACATAATTTAAATTGGCAGATACATAAGCAATTGTAGCTGGATTAGAACAAGAGAAATAAACTAATTATGCTCACATTATAAAATAAATAATTATAAATAAAATATATATTCAAATAATGGTTTAACCCATCTCAAGACACCCAATGCACCATCAATATCAAGTCTTTGGACAAGTAATATTAACTCGCTAGAGGTATCTTGTTGTAATAATCAAACATTGACAATAAAGCACGTCCAACAACAAACCAGCTCTTTGGATTGATTTATCATCGACAAAGCAAATCCTTATAATTATCACATGTTTATCATTACAAGTGTGTATGCAATTCGGCCAAATATTAATCTTCCTTTGAGTCGACTAATACTCGCATGAATATACACAAACACTAACATTCAATATTTTTTATGAACTGCCCAATTCAAGAGAAGTTACTTTGGTGACTTCTTGACTCAATTTGCTCACAAAAATATTAAACTACCAAAAATTGAATATTTTATTTATATAACAAAACCAAATATTTAATATTTGCAAACTAATTCAAAAGAGAATCATCTCATTAGAATTCTACTAAGGATGAACACCTCCCTAAAATCTCATTAGGGATGAACACCTCATTTGAATAAATCAAAGGAAAAAAAAAAAGCCTCATCTTCCACCAATACATAAAGGATTAACATCTCCCTAAAATCACACTAGGGATGAAACAGAGATAGTTTTGAGTCTCTTTAGCATATCGCTTCTAAACCCTAAAAGGGAATTAAACAAGTAATCACTCAGACCCTAATTTAACATCAAATTTTCTTTAAATTCCTAAGGGATAGAGACAATAAAATAATAACAGCCAAACATGTGGAAACATTCATCATTTACCTAAGATTCTCTGTATTGGGAACTCTACAAACACCAACCCCAATTCCAACCCCATAAAATTAAATAAAAACAAAAGATTCAAAAAAGAACAGAGAACCCAATACAAGAAAAATTGAAATATGAAACATTGTTTCTTTCTCA